GAGCCCTTTTTTGGGGGGGGAAATTTTTTATAAAATGGGTTTTTTTTTTTTTTTTTTTTTTTTTTTAAGAATGTGTTGTTAAAAGATGAGGAAAAATTTTTGATTTATGCATAAAATTATTTTATTGAAAAATGTGTAATAAAAAATGAGTTTTGAAAAAATGAATTTTTGATAAAATAAGGCCCAAACAAGCCCTTAGATTCCATGTTAATTTAACTAACAAAGTGATTAGATTGAAACTATTATGAAACTTTAGGGATGGGTTAGCAAAAAAAACCTTAAGGACTAATTTGGAATATACTACAGGTTTAAGGACCAAATATGTATTTTAACTCATTAAATTAAAGTTTGAAGGTTTAATTAGAGGGAACTAGTAATTACTAATTAGTGGGGTGCACGGGGCAAACATGCGCATCTGCATAGTCAAAAATGAGTCTCGTTTCACAAAATTTATAAATTATTTATAAATAATATAATTTCATTTTCAATTATACATATTCACAAGCATCATTCACTTTAAACTATGTATAAATTATTCCCAAAAGCTTAATGACGTAGTCAACCTTATTTTAATTAAAAGGAAAATTTTATTTTTAGATTGAAGTTCTTAAAGAAATCTATGGAGTGATACGGATGCTAGACTTAATTTAAACATATTAGGAATCACACTATATGTAGTGGCCATTAATTAGGATTAGCCACAATTTCAACATATCCTTTATAATCTTGAATAAAGTCTAAAATTTAACCTTAATCTCAATCCATTGGGTCTACCCAAGTTTCAAAAATGCCCCTCAATTATCCACTCACTTCCCAAGAAAGCTCCAGTACCAACTTGAACACAGACATCTGACTTTGATATCATCTTGAAATAGGGTATTGCCATCACTTTACTTAAAAGTTATAGTTCGTGACACAAATATAATATATCTTATTCTACACAGAATCAAGCTCGATAATTCATACCAAGCTTGGTCCCTTTGGCCCACCTCGTTTTAAGTGTGCTCCTACAATACTCTTCGATTTACTTTATCTATAGAGTCGTGTTCTTTTCATTTTCCTAACCTGATCAACATCAAGCTACACTCAATACTAATGATACTCTCATTAAAGGCCCGTGAAATTGAGATCATGTAACTTCACATCTATTAACTCTTCAATGACATATAATGTTGGTGAAGTGTTAACGCAAGTAGAATAACATGATCATGATCTCTTGGGATCGTTAAGGGTCGAGGAACATTTCTATACACTTCGGGGATTGGAATGAGTATTGAGTGTAGCCCCTTCAAGACACTATGGGCAACATATAACACAACAGCTGAAGACATGACCCTGCGCGGAAGTAATAGCTCTTTGGAGAACATTCAGCCCTTGTACGATCCAGCTAGTTTGGAAAAATCATCTTTTATTTTTATCTTTATTTTTATTTGTAATTTTTTTTTCCCGAATGCGTGCAGGCCCCATTAACCAATAAAATTTGTTATACCATTCACAAATTCACCACTTCTCATACACAATATGACTAATATTTGCCAAAAAAAAAAAAAATACCGAAAAATAGCATCGTACAAACCTCTGAGAAAAACCACATGCATATTTATCAGAGGAATTCCATCTTTTCAAAATACAAATCAAGGGTAAAAATGAAATCACAAATGGAAGTCGGACAGCATCAGAATTGCAGTCATGGGGGATTGGTCGTAAGTATATTTTATTGAGAATTTGACTTTTCAAACTTGAAAAATAGTTACCCTTGTTTGAGCTATATTATTTCTATAAGAATGCATTTCTGAATAATGTATTGATGAAAAATGTGTAGTTAAAAAATAAGGAAAAATTTCGAATTTGAGTGTAATATAATTTCATTGAAAAATGTGTGATTGAAATGATGTTAAATCACTGTTTAAAAAAAATGCGAGTCAAACAGGACCTTAATAAGATAAGCGCTCAACAAGTATTCGAAGTCTGAAGCAAAACAAGATCATATTCATTCTACAATGAATTAAACAAAGCTAATAACTTCTTTGGTGTGAATTTATAAGTTGATGTAATGTAAATACTATTGTATTGTTAATTCAGATATTCATTTCACTTGATGCAAGAGTATAGACCACCATGTTCCCAATTATTAACTATTAGGTAATGGTGCAGAGATCAACCACGCTAGTTCTCAATTCTCTACCTTTTTTCCCAATTTTTTCATCTAGGTATCAAAAACAGTAGTTCAGATTTAGCTGACCAGTGAGACTGATCTGTCCAACTACATCCGTTTTAACTAATCCGGAGTCAGTCAAGAAAGCATTACCAAGCATGATTGTGAGTTCGTCTTAAAGCACATCCTTTAGCATGTCTCACCCAATCAATAACATGCGAAAATATTTAGATTTGGCTGTTACAATATGAACTCAACGGTTGCGCCAGATTGCATTTCCATTCTTGGGAAGGCGAGGAACTACAACAGGTGCACCACGGACCTTATCAAGGGCAAAGGTTATCCTCAGTGGCCGGCCTAGAAATGCCTGAAACCAAAACTATCTTAAAAATACAATATTGTAGAGTAAACACAAGCGAGCATCCTTTGCAGATAAATTGGAGCATTGAGCATACTCACCTTTCCATCCATGGCATCTTTTGCACATGTGGCCTCATCTTCTTTCAAGAAATTTACAAAACCAAAACCTCTTGATCTACCACTTTCTTTATCGTACATTATCCTCACTAAATACACAAATGGGCACAAATTGTTCAGCACAAACGGAATGCCATATTCAGTAAGAAATTAACTTATGCAATCCAAAACGTTCGCCTGACTTCTACGAAAGGAAAAAGAACTGCGGTCGTGGATCACAAAAATCGTAATCGCCACTCAAATAAGGTTACATTGATTTCGAAAACTGAAATTTTGAAGAGACATATTCTACGTTCAGTTGTATACCAGTTTTTCAACTCTATATGGAAATAAAGAAACTGCAAATTTTACACATTACTTTTACCCACTCAAAGGTACCCATATTCCCAGTGAAGCTTATGATGCAATATAGAAAGAAGAAGAATTTATGGAAAAGTGGGACCAGCGTCGCACGAAGTAATTTTTCAGTGTCCATTTTTGGAAAATTTTGGGTGAAAACGCCCTAATGAGCAACACTTAGGGGCTTCACCACTGATTCGAGGTCCGTTCCGGCCGAATTCAATCGTTTAGGGTTAATAAATTCGAATTTTAATTCCATTTATTGCAGATTAATCTGAATAATGACTTTTAATTTTCATCATTATCGTTAACTTCCATCATTATGTACCCAAAAATAAAATTGTACGAAAACGGGACACTCCAAAAAAATTACTTTTTTCCACTCAATCCCACTTTTTAATGAAATTGTCTTTTTTCTGTATTGCATCAGTTTATCAATATGATCTCAAACACATGATAATCTTGCTTGATTGACCAATCCTACAAGAAGTTCAAAATAATGATACTCCTTGATGTAACAGAATTGGATTGAGCTTTCGGACAGAAACTAAAGATTTTATATATTGTCAACTAACGATCACTGAGGCATTTAATCAAACACGTAAGAGAAGTGCTCCAATTTTACCTTCAGTTACCTCTCCAAATGAAGAAAAAGCATCCCTGAGTGATTTCTCATCCACTGACCATGACAACCCTTCATTCAAGACACCAACATCATTATCATTCACATATACCATGTCTATAAACAAAACTATAGAAATGATAACGCCAGGAAAAAGAGTGTACCTCCAACGAAGAGTTTACTGTTAGGTGGAGGCAAAGAATTTGACAACTGGTAAGAACAAAAACGACGCCAGTTATTTGAAGCTGGAAATGATGGGTTTTGCAATTGGAGTGGTAGAATTCTTCTGACAACCTGCAGTAAAGTTTTCATTGGATTCTAACAACCTTAGTTGTCAACGGATGCAGTTGTATAAAATCCCTTCGATTTTGTACCAATGAAACAGATAGAGTGGCCAAAGTTTTGTGATTATGAAACAAATTTCAAAGTAAATGGTGATAGGTTTAAAGATAAAATTTTATTCTCAGTGCTTATTACAACCTATAAAAGCTAATAAGAGTCGTCACCTCTCTCTACAAGTCAAATTTAAGGATAAATTCTAGGATAATTATATTATCACTATAAATTTTATTATGTACACCTCAATTTTCTTATTTACTTAAATATTTTTAAGTAAAATTATATAATTAGGGTTTTAATTTATTTTTTAATTAAATAAATTATTGTAACATCACAAGTATAAAACATAATTTCTCTCTTTCTTTTTCCTCAACATCATATTGTTCATAGTTTTTCTAACTACTTTTGCTTTCTTCCACGGTGGCAAGATAATTTTCTTTTCCTCAGTTTGTATCAATTAATTATGAATTTGCATGTATTTAGTTCACTTTGTATCAATTAATTATGAATTTGCATGTATTTAAGTGCGATTCTTTTCATATTTTAAGTGAGAATAGATTTATATACAATTATTTTCACGTTTGCCATATTGCAGGTAAGAGGATGATTTTTAATTGCTAAATGAGTTTATAAATTTGTATGTATATACTCATCATAATGTCCATGAATTTGTATACCTTCATTAAGGGAAAGCATACTCGAGGAGCTATTCGTATGTACTAGGATTGGACGTGGTTTGATTTGATTTGATTCTAAAGAGAATCGAATCGGATTCAAAATTTTCGAATATTTAATAAGTGGAATTGTCAAATCCAAATTTAATTATGGAACCATTCGAGTTTGGTACAATTCGATTTGGTTCAATTCCATTCGGATCCCCAATTTCGTACTATAATAATAATGTTTTAATAATTACAAATATATATTAATTCAACTAATGACATGTTCAATCTTAACTTTTACAAAATAATGTAGTCCAATCTTATGTATCTTTTGCGTCTCTTTTTACTGAGTGCTTCGTAGATTTAATTGTTAAACATGAAGAGAAGGATGACGAGCTCATAATAATTAAAAAGGCGTTGTCTAGTTTCAATTCGATTTCTTCAAAATGGTAGAAACGACACCACGGTATAATAACAGATTTTGGTAAAACTTAGGTCAATTTGATTCTTTTGGGTGTGGACTAAAAATTAAAAATAGAAAAATCATATTTTTGGATTTAAGCTAAATTAAGCAGTTAGCAAATTTATTTAGAAAAATTTTTTTTTGGCTTATTTAAAATAAATAAATTAAAAAATTAGGAAAATTTGGTTCTTATTCGATTTTTCAGATCTCGATCTAACACCAAGAATCGAATCGAACCCGTTAATTTCTCGATTCAGATACCTTTCGGGTATTTAACTTAAGAAGAACCTCTCAGTTCGGTTCGATTCGGGTCTGGTTCGATTTTGGAGTTTTGTTCAACCCTAATATGTACTGCACTAGTCATAATGATCCATGACTTTGCATATAGAATAATGTTATTTAAGTCCACTGGGATTCAATCCCAATCTAGGTGGTATTAAATAATATGTTAAATAAAAAATGAAATTAAATGAGTTATTTAATTTTACCTATTAATTAACGTCACATTAACGTCATCTAAATTAAGATTGCAACCCCAGTAATCTTATAAAACATTACTCTTTGTGTACATGTAGGTCTACGAATTTGTGCGTGCATTATCTTTTCTGAACAGTATTGGCCCATTAGTGTTGGAACAGATGGATAAATTTGTGGTTTCTGAATTTGTAGTCCTTTTCGGTTGGGGCCGTTCTTGTGTGACAACCTCCAGAGGGTCGTCCAAGGGTTTTAAGCCCTTTCGATTGAGTGGTGCTCGTTCCATGAAAAAGGATGGTGGGCCATGAACAAAGGTGAACCAGCCTGCAAATGATTAGCATTTTAAGGCCCACTTAAGAAGTATTCACTCCTCTCTCCTAAGCTAGCTGGTTGTATTCTAAATTCATTTTTAACTACACATTGTTCAAATAAAATAATATTACATATGGATCCATATCTTTTCCTTACTTCTTTATCGTTCATGCTTCATATATAAATTTTTTTGGAAAAAATCTATTCTTAAAAAAAAATTACATCAAACATGCATTTAATATTTGATTACTAGAACGGTATATTCAATTGAAAATTTTAATGACTTTTGAGGATTTTAAAACTTTAAAGGTTTTCAATGTGAACTTTTTTGACTCCCTAAAAGTACTACTAGTATATCTGATTGAGACTTTTATAAAGTTTTAAAAAGCTTTTAGAACTCATAGCGTATTCAATTAAATTTTTTAGAAGTTTTTAAATTTTAATAACTTCTAGAAACTTTTATAAAAGTATCTGAAGTACTAATTTTTAAGGAAAAAATACTCATGTAAAATATAAAAAAAAAATTTTATTAATCATAAGATTTTGGGAGACTTTCACAAAAAAAAATAAAAAAAATGATATGTATTTTTTTCAATATTTCTTTTTCCTTCTACGAACATATAGTTATAATTAACATTTATTTTTTCTATTGATTATATTTGTTTCTATTTATCTTTCTTTTTCTCTTATTATCTATCTTTATTTTTTATGAAAAAAATTAAATTGAATTCTTATAATTATTTTCTTTTTTCATTCATTTTTTTGTAAAGAATATCTATTTTGTTTTATTAAATTATAAAATTTTATATGGCAAATTTATAATTAAATTTAAATATATTGATTTTTTTTATTTAATTGAGATCTTAATTTTTTTTTCTTTTTAAAATAACTTTTTATTTTATGGGAAAGGGGAAAGGAAATTGTGAGAATCATCACATTGCATATAAGAATTTTATATTATTGAATTAGATCCACGTGAATTTTACTTCAAATGAAAGATTTCAAAAATCTTTTGAATTTTACAAAAGTCTATAAAAATTTTAAAATAAAAGTGTATAAAAGTTTACCAAAGACTTTCACTAATTTCATATAAATTTTAAAAAAAAAAATCTACGAAATTCACAAAAGTTATCACTAAAAAATATCATCAAATTTTTGAAAAGTCCCAATTAAATACACCCCTTAGTGAAGTTTATTTGCAAGGGTTAATAACACTTTTGGTCAATGAACTTTCAAAAAAATCTCAATTTGATTATCCAACTTTAATTCGTCTCATTTAAATAATTAAATATCAATTTACTTCCAATATTAGTTACTCCGTACTCGGTTAACCCCACATCCTTTGTTGTTATATTGATAAACTTCAACACATGATACGTAGTATTATATATTGTTTCATAAAATGTGTAGCTACTGTAACAAATTTATAATATTTTAGAAAAATATTATCACATAAAGCACTAAATTTTCCATAATTTCACGTTGACCGGTTTCTAAGTAACACGATAACACTTGGCTATCGGTCGTACTTCATACACTAATTGAAGTTTATTTAGGGGGTGTTTGTTTTTCATTTTTGTAAAAATTGAAATAAAAAATATAGCCATTATGGCCCCGCACAAGAAATAAAAATTTAAATTTGGTGACTTGATACGATAAACAACGATCATATTTTTCATTTCAACGAAGGAATAATGAGAAATACTTAGGGGCTTGTTTGTTTCCCATTCTTTTCTGATTAAAATAAAAAATGACCGTTATTCGTCACATCAAATCACCAAATTTGAATTTTTATTTCTTATGTGGAGCTCATAACGACTATATTTTTTATTCTCATTCTTCCAAAAATAAAAAACAAACAGGGCTTAATAATGTCTCCTAATTAAAAGTCGGTCCAGCTGGTATCTCACGTTGCTCTGTATTGACAGAAATAAATTTCAATCACCTAATTTTAAATGACCATCACAGCTCACTTTATTGACTTTTTTTTTTACTTTTTTTCTTTTTTTTTTTTTTTTTTTATCAATCGACGGACTTACTTTTTTGCCTTTCTTTCAAAGTGCACAATTATTTAACCTTTTAACTTTTATAAATTATATTGTAAAATCCAGACTAGCACTATTTTGCAAATGAAAATAAAAACATAGTGAAAAATAAAGAATCAATGTAAAAAATTCAAACTTGATCTATAATCCAACATTTTTTTTTATATCTATACTCTATTTATAATTTGTAACATATTGTAATAATTTTTCTGTATAGAATCAACAAATCAATCCATCCTAACAACCTGAATCTTTTGTATGTCAAAATCAAACAATAATTTGATCGTTAATTGTTGTTCTTGTTCTTCTTCGAGTGACCCGAATGTAGCAATAAACAGCAGCAAAAATGGCAGTAACAAGGCCACCAATGATAACACCCCCACCAGCTGCTGATTTATCAGAAGAAGAATGATGTACTTTATTCTCCTCCATTTCTTCTTCTGGAGCTTCTGCTTCTTCACTCTCCTTTTCTGATGGTGGATCTGCTATGCTTTTCTGCTCCTTCTCAAGTAAGGCTCGACCCCTCAGCCTCAGTTTTTGTGGGTTTTTTTCTGCATTTACAGATCCACAATCCATCGCCTGAACCATCAAGATTGTAGCAACTAGTAAGAATAAGATCAGGTGGAAGTGGTGGAATCGACCCATTCTAATTTATATCCAAACACAAAGATTATATTTTTCTGAAGAAATATAGAACACCAATATTTGGGTATTTGGGGAGATCTAACAAGCTGAGCAGTGTTTTGGGTGAATCCTGAGTGGTCGTGTCTGTTATATATATATATGGAGAGAGAGAGGGCGATAGAGTATCTAGGTTGGGGTTGGAGTGAGGGGGTATGGTCCTGATTATTTGGAAATTCCTGCTGTTTGAAACTGGCAAGAAGGTTCACCAGTTCAGTTGACACGTTGAGAAATTGGTCTAAAGTTAAATAGTATGATTGAATTCCAAAAAACAAGACGAAAGGTGATTTATCGATATCGATATAATAAGCATGTGCTCAAAAAGACCTCCTATACCCTCCCGCCAAGTAGTATTGGCTGTGCAACCATAATCAAGAATAGTAGTCGCCCGATTAATTAAAATAGATAATCGGACACAAGACATGGTTTGAACTTTTACGATTATGGATTGTGAGGTTGAATCTTTCGATCCACAGAATGATCGTTTTGATGTTTATGATTCTTTACAAAGGCAACTCTAGAGCTTATTAAGTCTGTATTGCTACGATCTAAACCTTTATTTTGTAGCGTGAAAAAATAAAAAATTAAGAACTTGAAACCCTGACAATTTTTTGAAAACTCAAACGATCTATCGAAATCAAGAATAAAATCTTTGATACTCGAACGTTGAATTTAAATATAGAGTGAATAGTCTCAATTTGAACTTGGGACTTAAACTAATAATTAGTTGTTTATTATAATCCTTGAAGACAAAAAATCATAAATAAAAATTTATTTTTTATTTAAGTCGGTCGGTGAATAGTAAAACATTAATATCTGTGTAGAAAGGAGAAAGGTATTTCGTGTTTCGCGTCAATATTGGACGGTGGAAGCGTAGCCAACTGCCGCACTTAAACAAGAAAACAAAATTCAATTGTAAAGCACTAAAACAAAGGAGAAATAGACAGAACAAGACTGCTTTCACCCAATCCAGTTAATACCACGCTTTGTGTTGTCATTCAGAAGTCGAGTCGAAATCTATTATCCTCTTAATTAATTTTTTCAATGCAATTTCGATATTTTGTTACATATATCTTATTAACAAATGAAAATAGACTACAACGTGTAATATGTTGATCTGTCAAAAAATATATTGTTCAGATGTGATTTAATAAAGGACATAAGTCCGTAACAACACATTTGACTTCGGAGAAACCATTTATCAAAATGAAAAAATTGCAACACGAATCTTTTTTTCTTTTTTTTTATCATTTTTAGGGAAAATCGTGGCAACTGTCCATAACTTTTTCATTTTTTTTTTTTTTGCAGATTTTATCCTAATCATCATTTTGTGTAAGCAGAGGTTCCCAACCTTTCATAAATATACACTTGAGATCCATTTGGACGAAAACAGTCCAAAACATCGTCAGTTGATCGGAAAATATATTATTCAGATGTGATTTGATAAAAGACATAAGTCCGAAACAACACATTTGACTTCGGAGAAACCGTTTATCAAAATGAAACAATTGCAACACGAATCTTTTATTTATTATATTTAGGGAAAATTGTAGCAACGGTCCCTAACTTTTTCATTTTTTTGCAGATTTTATTCTAATAATCATTTTGTGTTAGCAGAGGTTCCCAACTTTTCATAAATATGCACCTGAGATCTGTTCGCGAAATTATTTTCTTTCGATTTCAAACCACCGCAAGTGTACGGTTCGTTAACAAGTAATAAAGTGGATTAGTTCAAATTTTACCTATCGTAGCCTTAACCGAAACTAAATTACCAAAGTGAATGTAGACCTAATTAAACCCCAATTATGCAATTTTTTATGATTAAATTGAAATTAATATGCAAAACAATAATTTAAAACTTTAGAATGAAATCAATTGTTGAGAACGCACGTTTGTTGTAATCAATAGAAATTAAACACACTAGGATCACGATTTTCCATGCAATTATCACTTTAAACTCTAGTTCACAGTATAACAACATAATTCAATTGTTGACGAATCAATGTTTCTAAGTCTGTCCAATACTCTCTCTCGAGATGTATCAAACCTATTTCTATATACCACCGACCTATATTTCTATGACAAGTGCATATGTAAAAATGTATGTAGTTTTATGAACACTTAAAGATTCACGTAGGGCGTAGCGGTATATTTATATCCCCTATCGGACCCTATGATGATTTATATTATGTCGAATCTATTCCAATTCTCTTGAATACAAGAATAAATCACCCAAACTCACACAATCATGAGCCCTTAATTGCGGAAACAATAAATGCATATAAATCATTCAAAACAAAAGAAATATGTTTTAGTGTCAAATTGCAAAACTAGAAAATTAAAGATCCAACTACATGGTGCATCGATCTCCTAGCATAATAAAAATCTAGCCTAATATAATGGGAAATAAAGAAAAACAATAATTAAAACCAAGGAAGAATATCACCCAATTGATTCTTGAAGTGAAATCTTGAATCTTGAAGTGGATTGCCTTGTTTTTGCCCTGTTCTTCCTCTCCAAATCCTCCAAAATTGTGTATATTCCCCCCTCTTTATGTTTCAGGGTCGTCTGGTATTTATTGGAGGCAGAATTAGGTCAAGGAAGTCGCCCAAAAACCTTACTAAATCGTGTTTGAGTCGAATAAGGAAACCTGAGATTTCGTCACATTTTTATACCATGCTACCGCATGGTTCAGAAGTTTCAGCCCAGATTTTTCCCTGTACTGCCTTGTGTGACCGCAAGGAATTATAACCATACGGCCGCATGGTTATAGAAATTTTTTCACCGGATAGCTTTCAGTATTTTGGTCATAACTTTCTCTCCCGATCTTCGATTGAAGTGATTCAAAGTGCATTGGGAATAAAACTCAAAGATCTACACTTTTGATAGAAATAGGTTTCCTCAAATTATGATGTTTACTATGCCAAAAATGGATCTCAAGTAGAGACTAAAAATCACGAGCATAACTTTATCGCCTGAAAGTTGATACTTGATAATATTTCGACCATATTTCACCTCTTGAATCCTTTCCTCATCCGATTGATCTCTAACACTCTTGAATCTTCATTCCATTTCCCGTCTCATCTATGGATTATTTGCAACTTGGTCCCCGAACTATCACTTTACTCCATTTTAGTCTTTTTTCGGCTCTTTTCTTCTGAATTTCACCATGTTCATCGGCGTTCCCTATAATTCACAAATATAACGAGATTAAGTCACAATTCAATCATTTTGCTCATTATTAAGTCATGTTTGTGACCTAAATAAGTGTGCAAAAACACACTTATCAAGGTCCATTTGGACGGAAACAGATCAAAACATTGTCAGTTGATCAGAAAAATTATGGAATCAACATCCAACAAAACTGTCCAAAACATCAATAAAACTATCCAAAACATCGACAGTTGATTGGAAAAATTAAGGGATCAACATCCAATAAAACTGTCCAAAACATCGGCAGTTGATCGGAAAAATCAAGGAATCAACATCCAATAAAACTATCTAAAACACTGTCCAAAAAGTTATCAACATTCAATAAAATCCTCGCGATATCAAATAGTTCAAGGAATTTTCCCGGTCAAATGACGGTGTTTTGAATGGTTTCAGTCAAAATGAACCTCGGGTGCATATTTATGAAATGTTAGGGATTTTCGCTGACACAAAATGAAGATTAGGATAAAGTTTGCAAAAAATGAAAAGATTAGAGACTGCTGCTGTAATTTTCTCTTATTTTTATTGCGAGTTTGTCTAAACTTTGTAATTTTATTATACAAAATTATCCTTTACGTTCATGTTAGACACCATCTCCGCCACCCAAATCTAAGGATCATGGGGGCACTCTCTCTACGCCAAATATTAGTCATTAAGAAAATTTCTCGGAAATGGACGGTTGGAATGGTCCAACTAAAAAAGGGCAAGGGAGTATTTGGGCATAGTCTTCTTCAACTAATGAGACCTCAATTTTGAAGACTTTGAAATATCTTTTTGATAGATACCATCTATTTGTATGGAAAATTCGCTGCTAATAAATCTAGTCCAGTGTTCCCCTCCTTTCTTTACTATATTCGTAGAAAATCTTTAAAAAGTGTTCCATAACCTTGTTAAATAACGATTTTCTTTTATCCATTATGTAAAAGGAAAAATTAGTTATAAAATGAAATTGATTATTTACATACCCATGCTACTATTACATAAAACTACAGGTTGTCATCCACAATGAGCCACAGAAGCAATATATTAATTATTTCTTCTTCACGAATGGCAATAAAAATCATAATTGGTCTAGAATACCAGTGAAACATCTTTTTCAGTCTAGATGTGTCCACCTTTTGCCCACTGGATGGCAGTTGGCCTAAACTTAATTAATTTCAACTTAATTTGGATTACTAGTAAAATTTCTTTACAGAATTCTAATGTTCCTTCCCACTGCTTTTTGAAATTTTCAAATTCGATGACTTCCACGAATAAACCTCCGGTCCCATTTCTGTCTCTTTCCTTCTCTGAAAAATTCTTCGTAAATTAAATCGCCGAAAAATGGGCAAATATACTCGTAGGTTACCTAACATTCATGTCCCACGACTGACCATTATTGACCTCTTTAAAAGCTCCCAAGTTGGTGATTATGGCCGGTTACGGTCGAGCACGCAATCAACTCGACCAAAGGCATCAAGATTTAGAGTGCAGACACTAGTCGACTAATCAACATCCATGCCCTAGTCTTGGTCAATCGAGTATCAATGTTTGGTTTTGAACAAGCCATTTCTTGTACAAATGTTGTAATGGCTGTGATAACAGGTCTCTTAACCACCGTGCCACACCAACAAAGTTTGAGTCAACATATTGGAGGGTGGCATTTCACATATAATTTAATCACCCTTTCATTTCTTAGCTTTTATATTTGCGTACACCTTTTGTCTCCAACATATTGATTTGACTGTTAGGACAACAACGAAGGAGATATTCCCACAACTTTTTCCTGCATCTCAACCCTCAACTAACTTAAACGCCATAGTCACACCGACTAGAAAAATCGAAGTCATAAATTTTGAGCCTTATACCACTGCCAAGAATCGATCAACCAAGAAAAAAAAACAAAAAAATTAAAGACAGGGGCATAGATAACTAAATATAACTACAGAGTCGCTGTCAAAGTCAAATTGAAAATTACTTTCAAACATGAAGGAATTGTTGGTACGATGCCACCAGAATTGTATATATTTGACATTTTGTTTATTGTTATCAGAGGATAACCCGAGCATCCACGATCAAAAGAGATGTTCAAATTGTATCTTTGGTTAATCGAGCATGGTGAGTCATAATTTGTAAATTGTCAAAATATAGGAAAAATTGCAGTAGCGATCCTTAACTTTTCCATTTTTTGTAAATTTTATCCTAACTTTCATTTTGTGCTAGTGGAGATTCCTAACCTTTCATAAATATACATCTAGGTCCATTTGGACGGAAACAGTCCAAAACACCGTCAGTTGACCAAAAAAATTAAGGAATTAACATTCAATAAAATTGTCGAAGTATTAGATAGTTCAAGGAGATGGTGTTTTGGATGGTTTTCGTCCAGATGAACTTTAGGTGCATATTTATGAAATGTTAGGGACCTTCGCTTACACAAAATGAATGTTAGGGTAAAGTCTACAAAAAATAAAACGATTAGAGATCGCTGCTGCAATTTTTCCTAAAATATATCGATCGCATTGGTGGATAAAATTGGATGCTTGATCTTGATAATATTTTATTTTTATCATTAGGATTTTGTCTATATTTGGAGAATAAGAAAAATTGTATGATTAGTGCCAATTGAATGGGATTGTATCGTGATCGCAAAAAGTAAGACTACTTGATTATGAACGAGTCAACTAAATTCTTAGCTCATAATGTACCCTCAAAAGTCAACTCAAATTTTTTGACGTGCCAATAAGTGATATCTTGTTGGAAGATGGATCTCAATACATTGAGAAACAAGGCGTAAACGATTTCGGATCATATAATTGCAAGATGAAATCCGTTAATCATTTAATTGAGACGATAGTCACTTCGAGGAATTTCCTAATGATTGATCAAACCCGAGCTCAGTAGTTCAACGTTGGGATTGTTGGACTTGATGTTGTGATGTGTTCACAACACATTTGCTTTATGAAAAATGGAATTTGAGGGGCTATACATATTCGAGGGGCAAATCAATCTTTTTTTCCAGCTCCTATGAATTGTCGATCAAATTGGAGGGCAATGATTCTTCTTGTTTTCTTCATGGCGCAATTCCACAACCTGGTTATGTACTTCAATTTAATGATATATTCTTCAATTAATATGAGTAACTAATTTCTTTATTTATGGTAACGATTGTAACCAAATTTAAACCCTTAAAGTCAAACTATCTTATTAGATAGGGCCATGCTATAGCAACAGGGGGAGTCAGCCCCCCTGACTGAACCCCACAAATAAGGGGGGAGGTCCCATGTTTTTTTGCGGGCTCCACCCCCATTTGTGGGGCTCTTGTCAAGGAGGCGGTTAGCCTCCCTGTTACGGGAGCACAATTCCATTTGATATTGTCAATTTGCCCAATGATGACAGCCATTGGACGAGCCAATTTATGTCTTAAAGTAGAAATAAAATGGTTCAATGCTCACGTTATTATGAAATGTTTTATAAGTGTTCTAAAAATAATATTTGAATATGTGACACTGTTAATTAATTTAAAATTAATACAAGGGAGTATATATACATGACAATGACTGTTTAATCATTTATTTAATTTCTAATTAAGTAAAATTTGATATTAATTAGCATCCATAAATGTGATTAATGAAATGCATTCTTGAATGTGAAGTTCAAATTAAATTAATAACACTGAAATGTATAATTGAAGATGAATATTATTGTTAATTAACTGAGAATTAATAATAGAAAATGCATATACTAATGAAAGTAAACACTGAAATGAATCTATTAAATGTCAATGTATGTTGATATTAACTAATGGTTAAATAAATTAAATACATATTACAACTGAAAAGTAAGGCGTTACTGAAATAAGTGAATTATAGTAGAGTTAGAATCGTCCAAAAAATGATTCTCACTTAATGTGATATTTAATATATTATAGATGTAAAGTTGGAGGAACTAATTGTATTCCTTTGTTTCTTTGGCCAATAATTTGTGGTGACTGTTTAATAAATCATGATGAACCCTTACTTTTAATGAAATAAAAGTAGAATCGATTCAATAAACAAAAGCTCAGGTCACTATCGATAAGTTAATTATTTAAATTTTGACTACATTATTTTGAACTACTAAATATAGCTTTTAGAAAACAAAAACATGATTTTCAGTTATTAAAATGAACCCAAAATATACCTTCGTAAAAGGTGACAAGCTATAAATTTAATTAAAAATCTCTTAGCATACCAGGTAAGCTGGAGTACTTGACTGTAAAAGAGTGAACTCGATAATTAATTGAGAAGTTTTGTGTAATACTTTTTCTTAAACTTTAGTTGAGTCCAACTTATCACCTTAGCCTGTATTTGGTGGAAATTAAATCAGGAGTTTAATATAAATCAAAGTTAATAATTACACTTCATATGATCCACAACTTTTCAATCATATATTTCATCAAATTTTGTCAAAATCTACTAAAAAACTGATTTTAACCCCACTAAACAAGGGCTTAATTTATTATCCAGTTCCAACTTCCAAGGAGTCGGACGAGCTAGTTCTCAGGGACTACCACAAAGAATATTGCTATACTAGCAATATTAAAGACAAAATGAGGAATAAATTGAAAAAGGTTACAATAAATACTTCTCATGGCATGAAAAAACTTAATAACATTAATGAGAGTCACATTAGTCAGAGTAACAAATTTACTGCTGTTTGCAATTTTTAACTTGAGAAATCTTCTATGCATTTAATACTGCTATTGCTGGACCATATTCAAGTCTCCCAAATCAATTACACTCACGTAAAATAAGCACTGCTGATATCAGTAACTTTGTTCATTACAACCTTTCTTCCAAAAAGTGTGACTGCAAAATTCATCACCCTGGCTCATAAGTTCAAACCCTGTGACCTTTCTCTTTTTCTTGTGACATTTCACATCTCACACTTTTGCCTGTGATTTGCTTCAATACATTTTTATCTTTTCTATCCTGGAGTTTTTATATATATTCTTCGTTCTTACGCAATTTTTGTTCAACAATGTGTTACGTTTTGGATTGAACAAGATTGATTAGGCAATTAAGTAGAAAAAAAAGATGATGAAAAGTTCAGTTGTTTGCTTTGTACTTCTCTTCCTTCCATTAGTCATCCATGCGAGGCCCATTGGCAAGCTACACTCCTGTAAGATTCTTTCTTGTTAGTAGTACAAGAAATTTCACTTTTAACTCCAAAAAAATAAAAATAAAAATAAAATAAATAAATAAATAAATAACAGGTTTTGAATTTTTCGTTGTTAAAAGTGAAATTGCCCAGTGAAGGTTGTCTTTATGAAACTAACAAATATGTTTGTCAGATAACGGGCATCGCCATCAAAGAGTGTTGTCTAGCAAGAAGGAAGCAAGTGTGAAACCTGATTTCTATGTGGATCACAAGAGGGCACCATTGATGCACAGAAGAGATGACACGCTTCAGATTGCAGGGTCGAGGTTACCGGATTGTTCACACGCGTGTGGATCGTGCACACCATGTCGACTGGTTATTGTTAGCTTTGTCTGCTCATCGCTTGAAGAAGCTGAGACATGTCCAATGGCCTACAAATGCATGTGTCATAACAAGTCTTATCCAGTTCCATAATATTTCATTTTGTCTAAGATTCTTTGTAGTTTTTTTACCTAGAGATCTTACAGATTTCCTGAGTGTAATCAAAGAGTTTCGAATCGGTGTTTTAGAAGCGTAGCTAGTTTTCCTTGTCAATGACTTCCACATCTCACACATGCTGACTGTACCAACCATTGGTTAATGGATTTAATCATTACAATAGAAATTAATTTTCCTTCGAAGATTAAAACCATATAAATAAAATAATCTTAGTAACCTTGAGATCATTGAATTATAAAAATCCTTATACATAGAAAGGAGAGATGATAACTTTTTGAATGAGCTTTTAATAGTCTAATCAATTGCTTTCTCCCTTGTTCTCCACTAGGTGTATTTCCTTTTCAAGAATGTAAAAAGTGGCCAACCCTAATTGTCATATGAAAATATGACAATAAAGTGCATATTTATAATGTCCTATTAGGGTTTGAAAATTGCACAAATTTCCTTGGACTTTATCGTAGTAAACCAATTAAGTCACACACCTTTCATTGGAGCCAAGAGAAGGACCTAATCGGACTCACATAACCCAAACTCCAATAGATGTTTTCAATTGGGTCAATTCTTGACTAATTGAGATACATCTATTAATCTCAATTTATTCTACCAAAAAATCGAGATTGCATTCTCGAGTCGAGTAATAGTTATAGAAACAAATTATGATTTAATAACAATATCCTCTGATTATCATTCCACAAATCAACCCCCATTTGTCTGATTATCATTCCACAAATCAACCCCCATTTTACCACCAATATGTTGAAAATGGCAAAATGACCGTTTTTACCCTTCAACATGTATTACCCTCTAAGTACCATTTTCATATGGCAAATTCGTTGTGATCAAATCACAATGTAAAGTCCAACGATCTCATTGTCAACCTACTGAGCTCAGGTTTAATTTGTCTAAGAAAATACCTTAGAGTGAAGATCGTCTCATCTCAATGATTAATGGATTCCACTATTGTAAGTATATGATCTCTAATTGTTTCGGCCCGATTCCCAAAGCACCGAGATCAATCTTCTATTTAAGACTTCGATCATTGATACCTCAAAAAACTTGAACTAGTAATCAAATGTACATTACTCACTCAGAATTTAGGTGACTTGTTTGATAATCAAGTAGAGTTTCATTTCGAACGGTCACAAATGAGTCATCTATGCGGTTCCGTTCAATGTGCATCGAAACATATTATTGTTCCTATTTCAAGATCTAGACAAATCTTAATAAGAACAATACAATCTTATCAACATAAAGCGTCCACCTTTATATACTGATTGTGAACGACATAATTTTGATTATATCACGAATAGAGAATACATATGATTTATATAGATATTACACATCCGTCGAGTCATTATTTAGTGGGATCTGACTTGTACAAAATCGACGTATATGTCCTGAAGCGCCGCACCTCCCGTACTTACGCGGTTGTGGAAACTCTCCTATAGATGGTATTCTAGACGTCCGTCTAAGACCAGGAGTACGCGGTAGAACTTCAAGTGGCAACAAATTATTAAGTGCTACAATAAATCAGGAACTTCCCACTCGACTTCATTTGGTAGAGGAAATATAGTTTCGACATACGCCGTTATCCAAAAATCAGCCATGTAATAATGACTGCATGAGCTGTGTGTTGGAAATCATCTATACATAGCCACTGCAACAGCATGCGCATATGGAAAACTCTTCAACTAAAATTGTATACACGTGCAGGTATTATCATTCAAGTCTACAATGTATCCAACATTACGCTCGCATCTCACGGAGAAGCGAAATTGATCTAGTGGTTCCACAAATAGAGCTTTTGCCACTTCCAGAGTTTTGAATAGTTGATCTTTCTGCGCCGGAGCTAGCACACTCGTGCAATTATGGGATTCCTCATGTCGGTTATAAAACCACCGTTGCAACTTGCTACGAATATGTTCAATCATTGCGAAATTGGTAACTCTCGATCCTTCTTGAATAATGCATTGAGTGATTCCGCATTATTCGACGTCATCATGTTGTATCGATATCCTGGAAAATGTGACAGTGCCCAATGTTCGACCCCCATATCTAATAGATATTCCCATGCACTTTCTGATTTATGTTCTATTTCGCCCATGAATTTCGTAAACTCTTCAAAGCTGTAAGCTTCTGCAGCTCTCTTAAACAATACAACGATGCCACTGCCCCGGTACCTAGTCTTCAGGTTGCCCTGAATGTGGTACATGCAATAACCATGATGTGCTTCTGGAAAAACTTCGGCTATACCATTTATTATTGACTGCCCCCGGTCAGTCACAAATGCAAGGTTCTCGATATCCCTAATTACTTCTCTCAGCTTCGTGAAGAACCAACTCATTGCTAGATTAGTCTCTTCATCGATAATGCCAAATGCAAGAGGATAAATTTGGATGTTAGTATCTTGACATATAGCAATAATCAACTTCCCTTCATATCTAGCTTTTAGGGCTATACCATCAACTAGAATTAGAGGTCGCATTGCATTTCGAAAACCTACAATGCATTGTCTAAGAGCCATAAAAAAATACTTGAAGCGATTCTGCCCATCGGTTTCGATAAAAACGTCGAGTCAGAATTAGTTCTCACCATGTTGTGGCAATACCTGGCCAATTTGGCATAACTCTTCTTTGTCGAACTCATTAAATCTTCCAATGCACATTCTTTAGCCTTCCAGGCCTTCTGGTAACTCATAACCACACCATACTCCCGAGAGATGTCGTTGATGATATCTGTAGGTCTATGAATCGTTCGTGGGTCCTGAAACTTGTGCATTATCTGTCGACCAATAAACCATGATCAAGCTTGCCTGTGATTATTTTGACGAATACCCACTACACAAGTATGTTCCCGCGCATACTTGCAAACTACAAAGAACTTATTTGTGTCCATCTTTATCGCTCTCAAATGCCAACTGCAATTGTTGTCCACACAAATAATTGTGTATGTAGACTTGTTTGATTTTTTTTACCTTAAACTTAAAATTATGTTTTATTGCAATTCAGTACACAGCTTCTTGCAAATCTCTTTTCGTGTCAAACAATTGATCGATACGTAAATTTTCATTATCAGGAACTACACGCGAACAATTAGAAGACCGTGTACTAGGCCCAGCATGTGAACTCCCACCAGACTCATGTCTCTGCTTGGATGAAGCAATCAAATCCTGATTTGTAAATGACATTTCATCCTCGTTGTCTTGAATTTCCTCGTAAATCTTTTGTGTAATGGTGACATCATGGTGAGTAGCAACTGTCCCGGGAACAACCACATCATCTTCACGAGCAATCACAATAGTATCCTAAAAATCATTCTTGTTACGATCCTCTCCGTCAAAAACTTTGTGTTCAATCTCGAGGACATTTTTTTTCAACAAAGTTACGCAAATAAGAGTCATCTTTCGACCTTGGTTCAATTGAATTAGATGTTTTATTTGCATTTCAAAAATAACTTTCAAAGGAATCGAAATTGTTGAATGCTTTTGAAATAAAAATCCCAATTTCATATCGTATTGAGAGGAATCAAAGTTAAGCATGTTTTGTATTTCATTATACATTTTCGTAAACGATGTATTTTTTGTTATCGAAATATTAGCAACCCCTTCTCTTTCACTCGTCCATTAATATTCCTGTTGACCATTTTCTTTCCTTTGAAATTCGTCGAAATAACAGATTGGGACATATGTTTTTGCCATATCTGCATTACGAATTAAAAATTATCAGAACAAATTAGATTAGATGCCAGAACCAGGGGGGAAGGTCCGTTACGGACAGTCCGATCCGTCCGTAATGGACGTCTGGTCCGTAATGGACGAAGACATTTTCGTCTTCATCCGTTACGGACTGTTTGAAGTTCCGACGTCATATCAGTGCCGGCTTGAACTTCGGTTCTAATATTATTTTCTCTACCATTTAAAAAAATATACGACTTCAATAAAAATAAAATTAAATACTAGGAAAAGATACTTACTGAATTAAAGTGCTGAAATTTAACGAAATATTTTTGTTGAGGTTGATAACTGATAAGTTTATAAACTTTTGAGGTTGAAGTGGATGAAAAATGAAAGAGTTTTTATCGTGTTACAGTAAACTGATGAAAAGAGTGACTTCGTTTTCAAATCTCAGTTGAGAGGTGTTTGGATTTTAATTTGTAACTTAAGGATGTTTTTGTCTTTTTAACAGATTTCTATTTTTGTAATTGTATAACTCATTTAAGGGTATTTTTTGTCTTTTATACAAGAATAGGCCTTTGTGGTGAATGTCAATTTTTTTGGTTAAAGTGGAAAATTGGTCGTTTGACATGGCCAAACTTAAAAGTACCCCCCTTCTAAACTCACGTTTCCGATTTTCAACCCACCCCGACTTTCTAAGTCCATAACCCACCATCCATTCTCCTCTTCTTCCCCAAGGAGAAAGTTGAAGAACTTTCAATCCATGGTGAGACTATTTTCTTAATCCCCTCATTAGTTTGAATTTTTATTTTTCCCAAACTTTTTAAGATGTAATAAGAAGGGAGACGAATGAGGGGGAGTGAGACACACACGTGTATGTGATAATGGATGTATTAGTTTTGTTGCAGAAATTGTAGAGTTTGGTTGATTTTTTGATGCAAATGAAGGCACTTTAGAAAGCAGCTATGGTTCCTCTTGTTCTTGAAGCAATGGATAAGATTGTAATCAAGATTTTTAACGTTTATGGGAATATTTGCAGAGGGATTGCCAGATTTGATCAGCTTCTAGTAACCTATAAATGGTGAAAATTCGAAAATAAGTCACAATAATGTGGAGATGTTTTACAAGGAAAAGATTAATCTTTTATTTTCAGTTTCTTCAACTCTTGAATTTAGATTTGCAATCTGTAATATTATTTTAGAATTAATTAGGAGTAGATTATATAAATAGACGCTACTCAACCTTTCTTATACTCTTTTTTAAATGTTACTAATAGTACGATTTTTTACACATGTACACTATCTTTTTTTTTTTTTTTAATGACTGTGAGTATCCAAGTCAGCTTACGCCCACCTTGACTAATCTCACGTGGTCCTGAAGTTTACAATCAGGTATTTATTTTAATGGCTCTAAGGGGATTCAAACTGATGACGGAGTAAACCCAAAGTCT